GTGTGTGTGTGTGTCTCACCTCTCATCCTTGTTGGTTCGGATGCAGCCCTCTATAATTTCCTTCACCTCAGGAATGGCTACCTTGTCAAAACTGCCAGGCTTCACTCCCTGCACACACAAAAAGAACAGCAGTGAAGGCGAGGAGCCTTTAAGAGAAAGACACACACACACACATTTGGGGGAAGACTAAAACCCATTTGTGGTCTTTCGCACTAATAAATAGGAAAGATTTGCGCTAGATTGCCATCTTTTAAACAAACATACTGTACATGAGTCTCTTAATTAAGCCACTTCCAAAATAAAGATCTATGCTTGCTTGCTAGTTTTTGTTTTTTTCCTGTGTGTAATACACCATAAAATTATTCTTTGGAATATAGAAAACAGGTCTGTCTGAAATATGAAACTAATTAGAAAGTGTCACAAGACTCAACTGCAGAATCCCTATTATATACTGCAGGATTAAAGGATACTAATTAAATTAAACTGAATTACTGGGAAATACCCATAATGTAATTCAAATTGATGAGCCATGCAAATAGAGCATTTTGTTATAATGTTGTATGAAGGTTAAACATTTGACAGGAGTGGTCCTACAGTAAGAGAGGCTGCGCAGGGTTAATTCCCCGATGGACCTAGATTTCCTCTCAAGAATAAATAATGAAATGCAGCCGTTCAGAGCCAATTAAGACAACTAGAGCCCAGTTTGATGGATGACACTAATAAAAGGAATCAGCAGGGACCCATTCTGAAGTTTGTCAGTGAAAAAAGGCACCTCTAATGGGAAAATATTAGGAAAAAGAAACACTGTTTGCAGTAGAAAAAAACAACTGGATCCAGAAAAAAAATAAACAGATAAAAGCCGACATATCCTACAGCATGATGCAGTACAATGAAATGCTCAGTGATTGTCAAAACAAGGGCAAAATGGCCATAGTTACAGACTTTTAACTAAGAACAAGGAACCTCTAAAGGCCCAATTTTTTAGGTTCACCATTCAGAGGCCAAACACTGAACAGAAGTTCAGCTACACAGCTCGCCAGAAGGCATCTTAATGACCAGCTCATTTCGTTCAAACACTGCCAATGGAGGAACAAAATAGAGAGTGACGCAAAGACAAGCACAAGGGAGCTGAACTTAAACGACTAAAAATGCAACAAAAGAAAAGGAAATCCCACATTCTCTCCATCTGTCATATACCTGTAAGGAGGATCCTAGATTGTGTAATATGTCATGTAATCAGTTAAATGCATTTGCTTGTTCTGTGTAAAATACAGGACAGCGCCCACTTGAAATGCAATTATTAACAGATTACAGGCTGGTGTATCTCACAGATAAACATTTCCCCAAGTCACAGATAATATGTTAAACACAAATTCACAAACTAACTCACAAAGATGAGTGCAGATTGGAAGGAAGAATAAACTCACAAAACACTCAAGTTTACAAGATGGAGGAAGAACAAGAGAAAGCCAAAGTCAGACAGTTGACTGAGGTTTAAGATGAATCAAATAAAGGGTAAATAACTTACCAAGAAGGTACTGAAACAAGTAGACTAGAGACCTGTTTGACTGAGAGATGTCTTGAGAATAGTTCTGGACAACTGACAAGCAGAGAGACTGACTGCTGACTGTTTATCTCGACCTTTTTGCACCAATAAATGACCACCTCCTTCTGCTCTTTTCCTCTAGACCAGTCTTCCCTTCCTCCTTTCTTTCTTTACTCTCTTGGCCTGTTGTTGTCCTGCAACCCCCCAGTTCACCATTACATAACAAACCCCCATCTCTCTCTCTTTCTCTCTCTCTCACTCACTCACACTCACACTCACAC